TTATATTCTACTATTCTGTATCCCTTAGATATTATTGGCACAGGACACAGGAACCACAGATGTCTGCCAGAAAATTGGAATGATGCAAATACCTCTTTAATTGGGCTAATGATTATTTCATAAATTGAATTACAGCACCACAAATATCTTAGAATTTCAAATTTTGGTGTAATTAAGTAGAAAAAAAAACATCAAAAACTGCAGAAATGTGACATAATGATGTACAATGATGTACAATGATGTACAATGATGTACAATGATGTACAATGATGTACAATGATGTACAATGATGTTTAAATTATCTCCATTTTGTCTCCTGTTAAAATTAGATTTACATAAAAAAGACAGGAATTCGAAGGCATAAATGAATTTTAAATTGAATATTCTGAATTTCCTTGAACAAATTTATTTGATATTCACTGCATAAGAATTTTTTTTGAATTTACTGAATTTATTTAACTAGCCAACCTAGAAGTTGAAGAGGGCCTTTAAAATAATATAATAAAGCCAACCTAGAAAATCTTCAAAATGCAACTTTTTTATTAATTCCTCTCACGTGTGAATAAACGCACGCCTATAATAAGGTAGATGATATCAACTGAATAACGATAGAAAGTTCACGCATATTTTACTGATACATCATACGTCTGATCAAAAAATCCATGTCTTTGTGCGAGTCTGAAAACACAGGAAGTTGTGACAAAGAGCGAATGGGGTTGACTTTGATAAAATGAATAAATTACTCCATTGTCCAAGGCAATCGTGACTGAAGTACGTTTTCTATTTCTTTTTAATGTTAATTCAACATAACTTAAAAATGTATGGTTGTTTAAATTCTGAGTGCTATTTTTGCCCCTGAATCATAATATCAAAATAAAAATCCTATTGAGCAAGAAATATTTATATGGGTTTCTCCTTTAAATAATGGCTTATTTTGATATGATTTTGACGATCTTCAAATTTTTGTGTATCGTAAAACCTAAAAAAAGTGCGATATCAAAGTCAAAGATCAAATGTTTGGTTGTATAAATTTTGAGTGCGATTTTTTAATTTTTTTATTTCATTCTTTTGTAAATATCATATCTTAGGTAGGATCAAAGTTTCTTCAAATATATCATCTCAGTTTCTGCCATCTTGAATTGTGTTGTGAATGCTCTAAATAAACTTAAATTATGTGTAAATGGAATGCAATAGAATATATATTAATATAAATCACTGTCTTTTACACCTTTATTCCTGATGAGGATTTTATAACTGAAACACATGTACAACAGCACATATTGGGCCCTTAATCAAAATGAAATAGAATCAAATTGAATGAAAGGCCTTTGGAGGCAGAAATAGTGAAATGAAAGTTCTCCTTTAAATACTTAACTCAAACTGAAATGTCGATCTTAGAACACTCCAGTGTATCAAAAAATTAAAAAGGTGCGATATCGCAGTCAAAGATCTTATTGAGCAAGAATATATAAATGGGCGTTCTCCTTTAAATCCTAACATATTTTGAAATGATTTTGACAATCTTAAAACATACTTGTATATCGTAAAATATCTCGAGCATAAAAAATCAAAAATTACAAATATCCAATAAGTTCGACTTCAGCCTACTTGTAATTCCAAACTCAATCCCATAAAAAAATCCCACAATTTATCAATAATGCTTTGTCTACAGAAGAATGCATCCATTTGCAGCCTGTCAAAACTAACGAATGATGGGCGGGCTATTAATACTTCAAATAGAGGCTATGAACACACAACTATCCGGCAACGAATGTACGCCATTGTTCTAAAGAATTTGAACGACATATTAAGTGGTTTTGATGACTTGTTAACAAAGTCTATCAATGCTCGTTAATATAATAACATGATAACCAATCAATATCCTTTTCAATGGCGTTATTGACGATTTGTTACGCGGCAAAAAAATGTAAATAAGATTCGTTCCACAACATTGACGTAAAAATAAAAAAGACGGATTCCTTAATCGAAATATCCTTTTCAATGGCGTTATTGACGAATTGTTACGCGGCAAAAAAACGTAAATAAGATTCGTTCCACAACATTGACGTTAAAATAAATTTGTCGGATTTCCTAATCGAAATTTTTATCATTTTGTTCTCAAACATATAAATATGGTGGCATATAAATGAAACTTCAATATGAATTAATAAATTTTATGAATTTTCCGTTTTGCGTGAATGTTCTAGATGAACGAGGTTGTATATCAATTGATAATGTATATTGATGTTCCGTCAGAGTCCTCATTATTTTCACATATATTTTATTTTCTCTTATTTCACCTTTTGACACTTTACTCACAGAAGTTGGCAATTGATTTTTTTTTGATGGTCAGTTTAGAGGTGTGCAATAGTAAAATGAAAGTTTACACCCTCCAGTTTGGCTTGATGTTTCGTATGTTGTATAAAATAATTTGTATTTGGCTTACTACTAATTTGACTTAACATCTATCATTTAAAAAACCCTTCACACCCTATAGTTTGGCTGACTGTTATTTATACTATAACCCTTCACATTTTTTAGGATGGCTTGCAATAACAATACCCATCTAGATTCAAGTGGTTGTACTAAACAACAGACCCTTTACACCATCTAGGTAGGCTAACAAACTCTTCACACCCTCTATGTTGGTTCCACATCTCTAGCTTTACACCGAACAACATCCCCCAATAATCAATGTATTATTTGAATATTAGTGTAAGAATTATAAACAGGCGTGTTTTTTCTGCAGATACCAACAATTAACGGGAAAAACACGTCAATAAACCAAACAACGTAATTTTAACTGCGGGGCACTAAAAACTGTCAACAATCAATGGAATTGAAGAATATAACATTACATTCTATTCAAACCTTTGAAATAAAGACATCCTTTTAAAGTAGTATTGTCTGCAATCATTCGACGTGAAAATTTAATCATGTTAAAGGAACCAATCAATACCAGTTCAAATATTCAAAAGTCAAGCTTATACCTTGACTGCAATAGCCACCTAAATTAAAATTTCATTTTTGTGCCTCAAAACTTCTTCAAAATAATCTTTCATGTAACTTTTGTGATATAGCAAAATGAATTGCCAAAGGTTTTTTGATACTGAAAATTCTTGACTATGATCCTTTATAGTTTTCATCGAATTTGATCAAGATTGGCTATTCAAGCTATTGTGGACTGCAAAATGGCCTCCGTTCATTTTTCTCTGTAAAAGAATATTGATAAAGGCTAGATACATTGAAAGGCTTAAATTGGTAAACGGAAAAACTTAACAAATTTTATGGCGATTTTTCCATTTATGACGTGAAAAAACATGAAACAGATTTATACTATAAAATCTTTAATGTTACGTTTAAATATGCAAATTCATAAAATCTTTCGAAAACAGATTGATGTAAATGACATAAAGCTATCTTCTTAAGTATTCAAAATGGAAAATCAAATTCTTTTACACAAGCAAATTTCTTTTTTATGTCTTTAAGGATTATGACCATTACAAAATTCAAGTCTGTCACAAGAACATACTTGAACGTCAAAATAAAAAAAATATACAGAGTTAATATATGTCTATTTGAAGTTTTTTTGCAAAAGCAAATTTAAGCCCTTAAGGGATATCACTCTAAACCAATTCAAAAACATTGTGGACTCCCTAGAAGACTATATAAACATCATGCGGACTCTCTTAAATAGATACCTAGTTGACAAACTCAATCTTAATGTGGCCTCATGTGTTCAAGAAGTTTAATCATGTTCCATATTCATATGATATAGTTTTTAAGATTCAACACACAATATCACTCATTTGCATATCATTTGCATATCATTTGCATTTGGTCAACTTATATTCCAGTACAAGTTCTAATTAATTTCATATAAAATTTAGACAATGAAAATAATTTCATCTATTACGAGTATTGATTTTGACAACTGAAAACATCTCATTTGCATATAATTTGCATATGACTGTCTAATTAGTATGATTCATCAAGTACACATTTTTCATTTATTTCATGTTATTGTCATTCTGAACTATAGTTTTGTGCTTTAATAAATGATCAATATTTTACAATTGAAAACATCTCATTTGCATATATTTTGCATAAAGCTGTGTCTTAAGTATATGAATTTTCAATTATTTTCATCTATAGGCAATATTGTCATCAAACAGAATGACAATCAGAAAATAGTTTAATATATGAAAAATGTTTTAGATTTTTTAAAACATCTCATTTGCATGATATTTGCATATCATTTGCATATGGGTGCCTTATTTCAAATAAACAGTTTTCTCCAAAAAAAAATATCTTAACAAACTTCAAAAATCACCCTATATCATATCAAACATTTAATAAAAAAATATATATTAGAAGAGATGAATACTATACTACGATAAGCATTTAGGTGACATATATTTTTCAAAAAAATTCTGTTCTAATACCCAAACCTAAGATGTTGCAAAATATCAATAAATCAAAAATTCAAATATGAAACAGACCATTTTGACAGGATGTTGAAACGATAAGTTATAATAAAATAAAAGATGAATAATTTCACGGATTTGAGATCTGCTTTTTATCAACGACAAAAATAATTTAATTTTCAGAAAAACAGATTTTTAGAATCTTGAATATATTAATGCCTGATTTATCTAACTGAATAAAAACTTTGTCAATTTCTCACTCAGAGATTATTGTCGTCTTAATTCTTAAGCTTGGTTTTGTCATATTGTTCTTAATTTTTACAAAAAATTTCTAGATAAGAAACAACTATATTTTACAAAGATAACATAGATTCTTCAGACTTATATGTACTGATCAAGATTAAAACCCATGATCATCACTCGCTCGTTGTAGCCCGACCTCAAGGTGTGCAGTGTGCAATGAGAAGCATATGTATACATCAATATCCATTAAGAAAAATCGTAATAAGTATGGTACTTTACCCTCCAGTAAAGATTTGATATTCTTCATCACTTGGGGAAAATCTGACTGACCTTGACTCTCTTTTTCAAATTGCTGCCCTGCCCCCTCCGAGAAGAAAACCTCCCAATAATCTGAGACTTTCATCAACCGCAAGACAAAAAAGTGTGGACAAAGCATCAACATTGTAAAATTATTAACAAACCTAACTTATCTCTAAAACAGGAGAGTTGCATTTACTATTCTGAAGAATCAGAATGCCAAATCTCTTGGGGATTTTGACAGGTAGTGTCTTTCCTAAAGATAATAATTTTTCATGATTTGTTTATTGTTCATGAAAGTTTTTGTACAAATCAGAAAATGATGTTTTTTTGTTAAAAATTTATAGAGATGCTTATATAAAAGTTTTCTCATTGTGATTTAACATTAATATTTCTATACATTGTCTTGTCTTTTCAGATTCATGTATCATTCATTCATTCATTCATTCATTCATTCATTCATTCATTCATTCATTCATTCATTTGTTTATTCGTTCATCTCAACAAAAGCTTATTCATTTCATTTATTGATCTCTTCATTCATTCTGCAATTCTTTATAAATCCAAGTCAATCTTCCAAAAAGAAACCAAAGGAGATTATTAATTTTCATTCATTCATTCATTCATTCATTTATTTCTTCCAAATCTCTAAAAGTCGACCAAAGGAGAAATTATCCAGCATTTCTCAATAGGAAAGGCATAAGAATTATCCATTGTAAAATTCATTCATTCATTCATACATCTGTTCATTCAGTCATTCATTTGTTCATTCATTCATTTATTCTTTCATCTGTTCATTCATTCATCTGTTCATTTATTTATACATCTATTCCCTCAGTCACTCAGTCCTTCTTTCATTAATTCATTCATCCCCTCCGCCACTCTAAAAGGAAACCATACAAAGAAATATCCATTATCTATTTTTCTACCTGAATAACAAGATGTCTATTTATCTTAAAATTTTAGCTTTTACCTGCCTGTTAAATCAGTTATTATTAACAATGTTAATGGGAATTATAGATTTTGAAAATGTCTTCAGTAATTCACTACAAGGGGCCATTATATATTATAAATTAGGTATACTTTCAATTTTCAGTCTGTGGTTCTTTCAATTCCATTAAAACTTAGCGTATAAAGTAGTGGTTCAGCCTTCACACCCCTGGAGCAATCACCTGGACCTTTTACACTCCCAAAAATTTGTTTCATCCACATTTTCAGCATGTGGTGATGTGAGGTGCTCTCTCAATTCAAAATAAATTCTTCTCCTACACCAGTTGACCACACCCCTGACACCCTAGTCCCACACCCCCAGGGGATGAAAACACAATCTTTTTAAGGCCAACCCCAAAAATTTCCTCTGAACCAATGTTTCCTGTGAGCTTGGATATGAGAACAAGCACTCCTTGTCAAAATTCTTCATCTTTTCATTTGAAACAGGCTTGGCATTACCTTAATGCACTAAATTTACATTTGAATTCCAGAGAATATTTCTACCTCCAAGATAAAAGAGCTGATGAGTCTGATTAACAATGAATAATTAATTGAGACCTCATTAATAACTTATTAACTTTTTTCAGGTGGTAGAAATATAGCTACGTCTTTTTGTTTTTTTGGATCAATGTTTGGCACGATGCACAAAAGATAAAGTAAGGGCCAAGGTCTCACGAGAAAGTCAGAGTAAGATGTAAAACTCCCTTTTATTCCAATTCATTGGCAGAAGAGACTAACAAATTCATTCCAAAAAACTGATTGTCTATCTACTTAAACAAACTTGTTTCGAACATATTGTATTACCTCCCCTTGTGGCCTCAGGTATTGTGAATTACCTCCCTTGATAATTGACAATATTTAGAGTGACCTCCCTTGAGACTCTGTACATGAATAACACGAGAACAGATTAGAGTCAAGTAATAACGTGTATTCATTTGAGTTCTCCACAGGGAGTGCGGAATATGAGAATTATCAATAATAAATCAACTAGTGCTGCCCCCTAGCTGTCAACGCTAACAATATCATGTTAGATTTTTATCAAATCAATGTGTCCAATGTCCATTGTTGTCTGAATGTAAACAAATATTGCAATTCACATCCTATTCAGAATAGATCGTAAAAAGACATTGAACTGAAGTCTTCTGACAAATTTAATAGTATCAGACGTCCAGCTTTGACAACCGTTAACGTTAAAAGAAGAAAATAGCATATCCAAGAAAATGAAATAAATTCTTACTTCCTACTAGGCAAGGCTGTGCGAGGGTCCCCAGAGAAATAAGATGGATTGCAAACATGCACTGAAAATGAACGAAACTGTCAACAGTTAATAGTCTCAGACGTCCAGCTTTGACAAAGACTCAGAAAACAATTACTTGCAAAGCATATAAGAAAAGGAAATAGAGTTTTACTTTCTACCAGTGAAGTATTTTGGCAGTAATTTTTGGGCCTTGGCCCTTCCCCTCAGATTGGTGAAAGATCTTGTTGAAGTGAAAATTAACCCTTTTAATAGCTCAAAATTCATCTCTGGCCATCTGAAATCTGTTGGCTTCGTGGAGGGGGGTGAGTGCATGGCAGCCCCCAGACCAGAGAATACAAATTTTATCGCAGACGTCTATGTGGCACTTTGACACCTCCTATAGTGTGACTGGAAGATAAAATAATCATGATTGTGTTTTCCCTTATCACCTTGTAATTTTATATTGTTAATTAATTAGATTTTATCGTTAGCACGACACATTCATTATTCTTTTTCATCTGAAAACTGATACTATTTTTATCTTGGACAAATGCTAAAGCTAATGAGTCGAATAAACAGATAGCTGAAATTGAGCTCTATCAGCTGGTAAAGTAAATATTTAGATGACTATACAGATAGCTGAAATTGAGCTCTATCAGCTGGTAAAGTAAATATTTAGATGACTATACAGATAGCTGAAATTAAGCTCTATCAGCTGTACAGTAAATATTTAGATGACTATACAGATAGCTGAAATTAAGCTCTATCAGCTGTACAGTAAATATTTAGATGACTATACAGATAGCTGAAATTAAGCTCTATCAACTGTAAAGTAAATATTTAGATGACTATACAGATAGCTGAAATTGAGCTTTATCAGTTGGTAAAGTAAATATTTAGATGACTATACAGATAGCTGAAATTGAGCTCTATCAGCTGGTAAAGTAAATATTTAGATGACTATACAGATAGCTGAAATTGAGCTTTATCAGCTGGTAAAGTAAATATTTAGATGACTGTACAGATAGCTGAAATTGAGCTCTATCAGCTGGTACAGTAAATATTTAGATGGCTGTACAGATAGCTGAAATTGAGCTCTATCAGGTGGTAAAGCAAATATTCAGGTGACTTGATCCCTTTAATCAAATTGAGCTCTATCAGCTGGTAAAGCAAATATTCAGGTGACTTGATCCCTTTAATCAAATTGAGCTCTATCAGCTGGTAAAGCAAATATTCAGGTGACTTGATCCCTTTAATCAAATTGAGCTCTATCAGCTGCTGTAACTAACATTTTAGGTGACCAGATTCCTTAAATGTCCCTCCCTAATCACTGGCTTTGATTACTGATTGCTTTGTAAGCTGTTGAGTCAATTAATCCCCCTCCCCCTTCCTCATACATCAAAACGGCACTTCCGTCAGTGACAGATCAAACTAATGACACATTAATGTCAATGTTGCATTCAAGGCCATTTCTCATTCATTTGAGGACGGGTTGTAGCAGAGATAGTTAGAGTGCTGAAATCTTACATGACATCATTTGCTTTGTTAAAACAATGGTTGTGGGTTCAAAATTTAGTCAATTTGTGAAAGTCTGGAAATGTTTTCTCATCATTCCAGTCAACCCAGCTGTAAATGGGTATGGATAATCTGTGACAGATCAATGCCATTAGGTTTGACCAGGATAGAATCCTCAAGAACATAAATTATTATCCTTGAAAAATATGACTGTTTCTGACTTTCAGTAAGGCAATATTGATATTCCCAAAGAACCGATGACCGCAGACACATAAAATAAGCAAAATTCTAGGATCACATATAATTGCGAAGCCATTTTAAAAGGTTGCATCAGCGAAACATTTAGCAGACGTTATTCTTTCGGGTCATATTGATATTTCCCAAGAAGCCAATTGCAAAGGAAATAAACTCAGAAAATATGTGCGGTCTTATAAAAATCGTAAAGTTAATGTAGCCATTTTAATAGAGTGATTAACCCAAAACCATTAGTCGAGTCAAAAGAGATGTAGTCTTGATCAATAGGGGGTGTAAATTGTCTAGTGTTATTACAAGGGGATTATGGTCTAATTAATGTGTCTGGATAATCATAAATCATTAACGATCAACCAGCCTTATTACCTTATCTACCTCATAAACCTTTTGATCAAAATTACGTTTCCCGTCATTCGGAACGCAAAACATGGTCATTACAACTCCTCGCGAATAAAACTGTCGTCAACCTTTCTGACTTATGTTCCAACAAAATGGATACCAGATTTAAAAAAACATTGCCACGAAATTGGAAATTTTATCGTTAATGTTCTAGACCAAAACAATCTTCATTGGATTTGTTTTGAAGAGCTTCATTTCAATGAATACATCAAATTGACTAGATCTTATCTTATGCTGATGAAACACGATTTGGATACACAATCCTCATCAGGACAGCTAATTTTGAATTGGAGGTCAAATCTTAATGTTAGCTAATTGACTAAAGCTCATCTCATGCTGCTGACACATGTTTCAGATACACAATCCTCATCAGGACAGATAGTTTTAGAAATGGGGGTTAGCTTTCTATTATAGTACTTAATGTTAGGTATTTGTTTTGTGGACTCTCCAAAAGGAATAACGAGAGAATAAGACTGACCTAACTTTGATATTTAATAACAGTTAGGACTAGAACACGATCAAATTCTTTCATCATCATACTACAAGCTAGGCAATAAATAACAATAGTAGATAATTAATATTAATTAACAGAAATCATTAACGAACAATTATCATTAATTACTGACAGCGTTTATATATACTCTTACTAAGACCATTAATTCTCTAGTTGTCAGGTTGGGGCTGGGCTGTTTCCTAGGGTGGTTGGATAGAGGTGGGGTGCTACCCATGGGGATATGGGATTTCTGTTTTTG